TCGGAGGCGAATCAGGTGCAACCATGTTAGCGATACCGAGCCACGGTACCGAACAATATCGAGCCGCAATATAGTAAAATAGTGATGTGGTGCATTTTTATTGGTCTATGTGCGTCCGCACAAAATAATTTTTCCTTAAAGACAATTGATGCACTTATAGACAAATATTGGTGGATCCAATGTATGCCCTCTCCGTTTTCCAGAGGATGAAGGCATTTCCTTCTTATTTTTCCAATTTGATCTTCCTTTTAATATTTTTTGTGGGATTCTTCTATTTCTTTCCTCTTTTCTTCCGCGCCCCAACATCTCTAAGTTTTTTTATGCTATTGATGATCTTTTGCGGGATGGTGATATGGATAAAAGTGCTTATTTTTTATCTAGAGAAAACGAACAAAATGATTCCTTAACTCTTTATAAAGGATCAAAATGATCCTCAGCTATATCAAATGACTATTTTGATCCCTCAAGTCCATAAAAAAAAATCAAAATAATCTTATGATCAAACCATTTTGATCCCCAAATCCTTATATATGGCTGATTAATCTTGGTGCTTTTGTAGTTGGATAGCCAATTTTTTGGTTTGCAGCTCCTGGTGCAATTTTTTGGGGTTTTGTAATTGAGAGAGTTGTATTTTGTTTATGTCCCTATATAATTATGCATTATAGAACGGAAACTTTGGGCTCTGCATTTAATTTTCCAAAAAAAATATATATATATTTGCTTTCCTGATAAAGCAAATGTGAAAAGTTTTGTTTGGAATAGTTTTTAGATTGTTTTCATGATAAGAAAAATAATTAATAAAAAGAATGTATTTGAAAAATATTTTTTATTGTTATTTCAATTTTTTGTCTTTAAAATTTATTTTCGAAAATTATTTTTAAAATTGTGGCGTGAAACATTTTTTAAAGTAAAATAAAAAAGTTTAAGTTATTAAAAACCAAGGCTTCATTTTGGACAGCTTTTTTAATGTTTTTGAAAGCAATTTTTTAGTATAAAAAAAATTTATACTAGAAAGGTGCTTCTGAAAGCAGTAAGAACGCCATCCCAAACCAAATCAAAGGCTTGATTTGGGGCAGCTTTCTGATTACTTTCTAAAGCAATTTTTCAGTACAAAAATTTTAAGAACTCAAAAAATTGCTTTAAAAAAGGTGCTTCTTAAATTAAAATTCAATTATGGTCATTTTGTTTAAATAAAATTAACACACGAACCATCTTAAAACTTCCCCTCTATATTTTGAAGCCTTCCTTATTTTTAGTCCTGCATCAGGTACTTAGATGGTGAAGTCGAGAATTGTGGATGGAATAATTTCAAGGGGAAAAAATTTGTGTCATGTGCCAAAATTATATATTTCATTAATTGTTTTTTATTCCAAAAATAAATATATAATAGTTATTTTGAATGTTGAATATTTAATCTTGAAAATATTTGTAACAAAATTTTAAAATATTTTACTAATTTATAGTTAAAATAATAAAATTATAGATATTTATATAAATATGGAGACTCATAATGTTGGTATGAAAATAAAAATTATGAATATAATTGCATTTTTTTTCTAACAAATACTTGACTAATCTCATATATTATGACTTTTAAACACTCCTAATAGAAAATAAATTAGGAGTTCCCAATTCTAATGTATTTGAGTCTCTCTAGAAGGTTTGAAGGTGCTTATTTCTTCCAAGCAAGCCCTTTGTGGTCAAAGGTAAGATGGCCAATATTTCCTACTTTTGAAAGATTTGTGTATTTTTCATGTTGTGATATTAGAAATCAAGCTTATATATGATGAATTATCAGCATGTTCGTATCTTAGGCTTCGTTTGGTATGACTTTTCTACTATTTTTAAGCCTTTGATTTGAGTCCATTTGGCCCCGTGGTTTTTTCCCTTTCCAAGGTTTTCCACGTAAAAATCATAGTGTCCTTTTATTATCTATTTTTTTGCTAGATATCCGTATAACGCTGAGACGTGAACTTTCTGACTCTATCGCCGCGTATATTCTAGTCCGCAACCGTTCTTATCTTTTAGCCTTTCAAAAGACAGCAGTTAGTCATTTTCTTGGGACACTTGGTTAAGGGGAAGCTCTATTGCTAATGATTTTCCCAATATCTTTCACATACCAGCTAATCTTTTCAAAACTCCTGTTTTTGTATTTGCTACTTAGTGCATTCCATCTGCTTACCCTGATGTTTTGAAGGAAAGGAATTATAATTTGCATCTCTATTCTAATACCTACAATTCTCTGCTTTCAATGAACTCTTCTAAGGTTTCGTTTGCATAACTTTATTACTGTTTTTAAAAATAAATTTATACTACAAAAGTTTTCGGTTCAAACTTTTTTTTTTGTATAAAAATTATTTTAGAAAACAATAAAAGAGTTGTCTCAAATAAAGGCTAAAGTCTGTTTCAAAAAAACTCTTAGCAAGTTTTATACAAAGACATGGAGATGGTCCCTTGGTTCTTCTTTATCTGGCATAAAAAGTTCTCCCTTTCTTTTTTCTATTTTATTTTTTCTTGGTTGGATATGATTGGGGACTTAAAGATGAGAGATTATTCGTGCGGACGTCGGACACAGCTTTATGTTCGAAGACGAATTAGATGTAGCCACGTTAGCGATACTGAGCGGTACTGAGCAGTATCGAGCCGCGGTATAGTAAAAAAGTGATGTGACACATTTTGGTTGATCTTTGGGCGTCCGCACAAAATATTTTTTCCTTAAAGACAGCTGATGCACTTATTCATAAACAAATATTAGTGGATCCAATGTGCAATTATTCATAAAAGTGCTTATTTTTTATCTGGAGAAAATAAAAATAATGATTCATTGACTTTTATAAATGATTAAAATGGTCCCATTATATATCAAATGATTATTTTGGTCCCTCAAATTCTTTAAAAAAGTTAAAATAGTCTTACCATTTTGATCCCCAAATATGGCTGATTAATCTGGTTTTTTTTTTTTTTTTTTTTGGTTTTATAATTGGGAGAGTTGTATTTTGTTTATGTCCCTATGTAATTATGCATTATAAAACGAAATCTTTGGGCTCTGCCCTTTTTTTTTCAAAAAAAAAAAAAGTTTGCTTTCCTGATAAAGCAAATATGAGAGGAGCAATTTTTAGATTATTTTTTAATGATTTAATAAATAAATATGTATTTGAAAAACATTTTTTTTACTGTTATTTCAATTTTTTTTCTTTAAAGTTTTTTTTTGAAAAATATTTTTAAAATTATGACCGAGAGGTTTTTTAAGTAAAAATAAAAAAGCTTAAGTTATTCAATTGTTATAGTTTTTTTAATGCTTTAGAAAGTAATTTTTTAGTACAAAAAATTATTAAAAAAAAATTATACTAAAAAGCTGCTTGTGAAAGCAGAAAGAACAACGTCCCAAACCAAGTCAAAAGCTTCATTTGGAACAATTTCTGATTATTTTTTAAAGCGATTTTCTACTACAAATATTTTAATAACTAGAAAACTACTTTAGAAAATATTAAGAAAATCGACTCAAACAAAGTCTAAGTCTAATCTTTTTCATGAAGGGGCTGGCTAGAAATTCATTTTTGCTCCTTAAATTAAAATTCAATTGTGCTCATGTTCAGGGGCAGAACCCCTTTGGGGCTAGGCGAGGCAAATTCCCTCTCTCAAAAAAAAAAAAAAATTATACTCTTATTTAGGTGATTTTTAATTTTTATCATAAAAAGTTTTAGGCAATTGGCCACTCTAAAAATATTAAAATACTATGGTTTTTAGGCAATTGCCCCCAATATAATTAAATACATTGTGTAGACGTGTTATTGTTAGGGAATGATAAACCAAATACAAATAGAAATAGTAAATCAAAATTTGTTCCGGGGGCACTGCCCTCTTTTGGACCCCCGATATATATGCGAACAGTTACTTATACGTTTGTCCCTCCTGAAAATTATGACTGGTTCCGCCCCTGCTCATGTTGTTTAATTAAAATTAACACACGAACTATCTTAAAATCTCTCCTCTATATTTTGAAGCCATCCCTATTTTAGTCCTGCATCAGGTACTTAGATGGTAAGTCAAGAATTGTGCATGGAATAATTTCAAGGAAAAAAATTAGTGTCACATGCCAAAATTATATATTTCATTAATTTTTTTTTATTCCAAAAATAAGTATATTATAGTTATTTTGAAGATTAAATATTTAATCTTGAAAATATTTGTAACAAAAATTTATAATACTTTTAATAATTTATAGTTAAAATAATAAATTTATAGATATTTATATAAATACGGAGACTCATAATGAATAAAAATTATTAATATAATTGAAATTTTTTTCAAACAAATACTTGACTAATCTCATATATTATGACTTTCAAACCCTCCTAATAGAAAATGAATTAGGAGTTCCCAATTCTAATGCATTTGAGTCTCTCTAGAAGCTTTGAAGGTGCTTATTTTTCCTTTGTCTTGTGTGTTCATTCTTCCAAGCAAGCCCTTTCTGGTCAAAGGTAAGATGGCCAATATTTCCTACTTTTGAAAGATTTGTGTATTTTTCATATTGTGATATTAGAAATCAAGCTCATATATGATGAATTATCAGCATGTTCGCATCTTAGGCTTCGTTTGGTACGATTTTTTTACTATTTTAAGTAATTTTTAGGCCTTTGATTTGAGCCCATTTGGGCTCAGATTGGATCGATTTTGGTGTCGTTAGGTTCGTCTTGCTGAGATGTTCATTTTGACTATAAAGTTGTTAAGATTGGGGATTGAATGATCATAAATTTAATATTAAAAGTTTTCATGTCTGATCAAGATGATTTTTGATGACGTATCATCTATCATGATATTTTTGTCATGAAAGAAGATAAGATTCCAACTAACAAAGCCAAAATTGTGACCGATAAACATTTTGTCCACTTAGATGAGTCGTATCCAAAATGAACACTAATTAGGACTTGGATTAAATGATGAGAAATATCTTTTGACTAAACTTAAAACTGTAAAATATATCATAATAAAAGTGTGATAAGATCTTATAATAATTCAATTATGTAGCCTACAAAACAATATTGACCATAGAAAATAAGCAATTGTTTTCTTCACATTTTTATAGCCATAACTTTTGTTTTTCCCTTACATTCCGTGTAAAGCTATGAGTAGATATTAAGGTTTTGTTTGGAATAAGTTTATTATCATTTTCTAAAGCTATTTTTTAGTATAAAAATTTTAATTTAAAAAATTTGTATACTAAAAAACTACTTTAAATAAGTGATAAAAAAGTCGTTTCAAACGAAACCTATATCAGACCTGTTTATTTTAACAGTGAGCTAATTGTTCCATAGCGTCAAATTCACCTCAAAGGTGATAATACCGTCGGGTCTAGCGAGTGAGGTTAAGCGCGTCAATATAATATATCCTCGAGTACGTCGGAAGCGTCCCGTCCCTCCCACCACCGGTAACTCTTTTACAGTCTGCTGCGTTGGATTTCTCCCAATTACTGTCAACGTGCTGCCTGTCAATAAAAACAAAATTATTATAATAAAAAATAGAAATATGAGTTAAAATTTTATTATCAATTTTAATCTTTTGAATAAAAATTAAAATTAGATATAAAAATAATATTACAATAATTTCAAAATCGATATTAAAACTATATAGCTCATATTGATTATTTTTAGCTATGAAATAAAAAATTTGTCTTGGGCTATTACCAGTCCATGGGTCGAGATCAGTGAAGACTATGTTGAAGTTGTATAATCCGTCATAGCCATCGAGCGAAGCGAATACAAGCTCGCCTTGCACCCGGCCGAGAACATGAGAGGCAGGGTCAAGGCCCTCAGTGAGAGGATCATCAAAGACAAAGATGTTGCCGACGGCGAAAATCGGGACGGTCGGATCGACTGGGCTCGACACCACTTTAATGGCGGTCGCATTGGGGGATTTGGTCCTTTCATGATAGTAGAAAAGCAGCCGAGTCTCATTTGCATCTGTCTCTATAGTTGGGATGGTTTTTAAGGTCAAGAAGAAGAAGATTGTAAGAAATATTGGAAGGGTGAAGGAGATGGAAGCCATTAGAGGATAGAAGATGAAAGGTTTTTGATTGGTTGTATTGTGATTTGGGCTAATAAGGTTGCTATTTATAGCATGCATTGTCCAATTTTGTAATTAAAAATAATTTATGTCCTTTTCTAGAAGATGGGGGGTTTTATTAATTAATTGTTTTTTTAGCTTTATTTGACTAGGCATGCTTTCTTCCCTTCATTCAACTAAATAAACAATAAATAAATATTATGTGGAAATATATTTTTTTATATTATTTATTAAGATGATATTAATTTAATTATATCAAATATTCTATTGTGAAAGCGTTGTAGTGAATAGTAGTTGTGCTTTTATTATTCACATTCATAAAATTGAACGGTTCTTTGTGTCCAGACTCCGCTGGTAATAATCTCACTTGTTGGAATCATAGGAAAATCGTAATAATAATGAAAATAATAATAAATTCAAATCCCTAACCTTTTGTACAAACTCACAATAATATGACGTATGCTAAAATTATGATCAAATGCAAAAATTCCAAATTTCAATAGTAGTTTGACTTTTTTATTGAAGAAGTGATTGTCAAAGTATACATAAAACGGTTGGAGCAGCTCCGGTGGAAGATAAGATTAGAGAGAGTCCTCTTAGATGATTTGGTCACACAAAATAACAGCATTTCGATGATTCGATTAGGAAAGTAGACGTATTATATTCAACTTATGTTAAGAAAGGTAGATAATAGAGATAGATCTAAAAAAAACATAGTTAGAAAACATTTAAAATGATATTTCTTTATTAGATTTAAATGAGAATTTAACTTTTAACATGACACAATGGAGAAAAAGAATTAATGTAGCCAAACCCCATATAATGGGATAAATGCTTGATGTTGCTGCTGTTGTAAGTGATTGTCAAAGTACAAATTTGAGATCGTGTTGCGACTCGTTGTAGAAGGAACTCACGGAAGTAACTCCTCTCTGCGATCTCGTGCTTGAATCCCCTAATCTGCCCGAAAAAATAGTACAAATTTAATTTAAAAACTTGGACAAAAACTTCAAATTTTTCAACTAATCTACCTAAACACCTACAACACACGTGACTTCAAACTTAAATCATAAATCTTATTAACGCTCTTTAAAAGTACATTATTTTATGTGCTTGAGGAAAGCTTCAATTTTCCTCTCAAATGAGTCATAACATGCTTATATGCTCTTAAGGCAAAACATTAATATTTTGATTTTATATTAAATAATTATTAATAATAATTTTTAAATAGTATTTTAATTTTACCTTTCAAGTAAAGTACAAATTAAAAAAATATATTTTTTTTTACAATATCTTAAATTCTTTTCAAGTAAATTAGCTTAACACCTACAACACATGACTTTAAAGGTAATTCATAAATCTAATTAACACTTTCAAAAAGTACACTCCTTTTGTGTGCATTAAGAGTTTCAATTTTCCTATAGGTCTATATTAGGGGTGTCTAAATTTGACACGATTCGAAAACCCAATATGAACCATATCCAAAAATTTCGAGTTAGGGTAAACTCAGATCCGAAACGTGTTGGGTTCGAGTTCAACAAATCGACCCGTTTCAAAAACTAGGTCAGGTTTAGGTTGACCCATAAACCCGAAATTGACCCATTTTTTGCCCGAAAACCAGCTTTTGACTCTGAAACCCGAGATTGACATGTTTTGACCAGAAAATTGGAGATTGACCCATTTTTTTTACCCGAAAACTAACATTTTAATATTAATGATGCTTCCGCTTCAAGTTAAGTTTCTTGACACTCTGTTAGAATAATAACAATTAATAGTTCATAACTTACATATGGAATGTGAACTTTTTGATCTTGAGCCAAGCTGGTTGCATCTCAAAATCAACTAAAGGTTGATCATGTACTTTCTATTCAAACCTACCTTTACTATAGGCGAGTTTATCTTAGCGGTGGAAATTAGTCAAGCTGACTCGTGAGCTGGCTTGGGCTCGACTTGATAAATGGCTTATGAGCAGAGCTTGATGAGGCAGTCTTGACTCAGACTCACATTAACCCATGAGATGATTGTTTAAAAGATATTAGTGTAAAACAAATTTTAAATATATGAACATTTAGGATTTTAAGTACGAAGATGTTAAAAAAAATTTAAATTTAAAATGTTATATTAAGTGATTATTTATTTTATTTGTTCTAATTTCTTATCATTTTATTATAATAATTATTTAGATCATAATTGTTTTCTTTCTTCCATAATTAATGAGCTGGCTTATGAGCCAACTCAAACTCGTAGGATAAAACTCGAGCTCGGGCTTAAACTCAGTTAATTAATTAAGCTCAAGCCAAGGATTGACTCGAGCTCAGCTAGATTCGACTCGTTTACACCCCTATTATATTCGATCTCAATTCAAGCCAAATCCTATTTGCTAGAGGTGACTTGATCTCAAGATCATGCTATATAGTTTAACAAGCTTCAGCCAATTCATTAACCTAAAAAATTTATGTTAATTTTTATTATAGGTCATTATGAAATGTTCTTTTAATCTATGCTTTATGGAAATTTTTATTATAGGTTTATAACTTATATTTTAGAATTATATTTTATTGGTAATTTCGGGCAACAAATTGATTATGTAGCTAATTATGAAAAATCAAATTTAAATCTCACATATAAATAGAGGGTAATCGATAAATAAATAAATAAAAGAGGGTAATCGATCAAGTATGGGCACTCAAAAAATTGGATATGGAAGATAAGAAAATTTGGATGAGAAATATATCCATAATATATCTCTAGAATTCTCTATGAAATCACATTATTTCTGAATAATTTCTTTGTAATTTTATTGTTCAAAGGGGCTCTTTTGGATTCTTCGTAAATATATACTCTCAATTTGAGGCCTAATCTCTTGTCTTCGAGCTAATATTCTATGCGGATACCGGACAGTTCTCCCGTCCTGTTAAGCACTGGGTACCGAGCAGTACCTAGCGCGGGTATTGAGCTCGGTACATTTTTTGGATGACATGACATATTTTTGTTGATCTCCGGACTCCACATAGAATAATAAATCCGTGTCTTCGAACTCTTGATATCCTTATGAAGATTATGAGAGATCCTTGAACAATGAGTGACGTAATGATTATATCACCATTGAACAACTACAACATATGAAGAATTATTTGATAATGATGATAAAAGATAAGTTTGAGAACTTTCTACAAGGTCCTCCTCTTCTTCTTTCCCATATGGGTGCCAATCTATTGCCACTCCTAAAGCCTTTTTCTAGTCGAACCTCAAGCATGCGTATGACAACGTTCGGTCGCTCTCGCTCCAGCCGAATGTCAAATCTTTTGTCATTTGCTTGCAAGTGAACAATGCAACGCCAATATATTGGCAACGCATTATCAATCTATTGCCACTCCTAAAGCCTTTTTCTAGTCGAACCTCAAGCATGCGTATGACAACGTTCGGTCGCTCTCGCTCCAGCCGAATGTCAAATCTTTTGTCATTTGCTTGCAAGTGAACAATGCAACGCCAATATATTGGCAACGCATTATTCACCCACTATATACTTTTTTTTTAATTCGAAAAATTGGTTATTAATTTAATATATATATATATATAATAAAGCATGAGAAAGAATATACTAGAAATATTTTCTTTTTGATGTTAAAAAATAGAATTCAGTTGAAGACACATTATTGCATATTGGTGTATTATAGATTTAAACAAAAAGGCTTCATTAAGAGAGAAATTATAGGTCAGGGAAATGTGGCCAAAGAATAATAAAAAAGCATTTTCCTAATCATAAAGCCCATAGGAGATTATTCATAAACATAAAAACAATTAAGACATCTCATCAATGATGATCAAAACTCCTTCGCTAAGATTCTCCATAGAGTACAATGGAAAGCAAGTAGAGGAAGGTTGATGAGCATCATTGGCTAAAAATCCTCATTTCCAAGGATAAGGCAAGTTTAGGGCCAAAAATCAAGGCTCCTGATTTGGGGTTTAAGAGGAGAACATTGAAGAGAAAATTGTCAAATGGGCTAATTAAGACACACCGGAGAATCATATCAACACAATGCACTGAATCCCATCAGAACTCTACAGTTAAACGTGCTCAGACAAGTGTATTACGAAAATGAGTGACCTCCTACAAAATGCTTATATTTTTGACACCACATAGCTACATAAAGACTTGTTGTATTTGTTGGAGAATCATTAGGGCACACGAAGCCCTAATGTTGAGCATTGTGAGAAGATGAATATTTTAGTAGAGAAGATGGGGTTACAATAGAGGCTTTTAGAACAGAGGATTTCCTAGATGCATTGGGTTGGATGTAGAGAGGGAAATTCTTGTGCCCTATGCAGGAGAATAAAGTTCTGAAAACCTTCTCAAAGCTTTCTTTAAAAGTCATGATTTCATTTTCATAGAATGAATATGAAATCATTCTTCTTTTAATATCTGAAGGATATTTAACAATAGATGAATGTGGTCATAATGAATCTCATATTGCTAAGACTTTACAAATTATGGTGAAAATCATAGATCCTTCGTTAATGATAACAATAACAAACTGAAGGTACAAACTAGGGCGGACAAGTTTGGACTAATACTTGAACAACAGACAATGGCTTCATTTATGACAACTTTCTTATTGCTTTTTAAAATAAATTTTCAGTACAAAAATTTTTTGAACTAAAAATTTTTATACTAGAACGCTGCTTTAGAAAACAACAAGAAAGCCGTCCAAACAAAGCCTATATCAAACATCAAAGTAATCATGAATTGATCTCTATTTGGTAGCCTGTGCAATCATATTGCTCAAGGAACTAGCCTGCTCCTTTGCAGTATCAACCAAGGAATCCTGCAGATAAAAACTGAGTAATCAAGAAAGCAGCAATACTCTTAAGCATCATTTGTGAAGAAATTATTTTGTGAGAAGATCGGATGCAGAACGCCGTCCGGAGACTAACCAAAATCCGCCACGTTAGCAGTACCGAGCCGTGGTACCGAGCAAGAAGTTACGTGACGCATTCTGGTTGATCTCTGAACAGCGTTTGGCGTCGGCAAATAATAATTAATCTCGTTTGGGACAGGTTTCTTACTAGTTTTTGAATATTAAAAAAATATTGTCTCAAACTAAGCCTTCAAAATTCCAAAATAGCAATTGAAGTCTTAGATATTGAATCGCTAAGATAATTTTACATGAATTGTTCATTTCGGAAGTAATTCATTAAGCAGAACATGTAGCTTTGTCATATCATGTAGCTGCAAAATCATGAAATTACAACTATGATGGTTAAGAGTAAAGAGCAACATGTTGCTGTTTTTATCTCTAATGTTTATTCATAATTCAAGTATCAATGAAATGGCTTATACTTCATTTTCTATTATTTGAATTTAGGGCAATTTTAAGGAATTATTGCTGAAGATCTATAGTGTCACAACAACAGGTAGATTAAATTTCGAAACAAGTTAAGGAATAATAGAGGTCAACCGTAAAGAGTTCACCCATCGCCAGTGAATTTCCGATAGAGTTTCTGTGACACTTCTCTGTTTTAACAATTCAATCTTAATTTCATAAGTAATATCCTCATCTATATCTTCATTCTTAAACCTCACATAACCACTAAAATTACATATCATATAACCATTCTTTATTCTACTAATTCAAAGTCTTCAATTTTTAACTATTTTCTTCATTCACTAATTTTTCACTTATTTCAATAGATGACTCACCAATTACTATTATGTCATAAGAAAAAATTATACACCAAGGCATGTCTCTTTGAATATCCTTCTAAGAATTTTCATAATCAAATCAAAAAGATATGTGCTCAATTGATCCTTGATGAAAATCTATAATAATTAAAAATTAGTTGTCACTCAGCAACTATTTATAAGCACTCAATTATACACATCTATAATAATATCAACATTTTTTTCAAACATTTGTATGCCTTAAATTACACAGGATTAATTGCCATAATACTCAAGCATAAGTTTTCTCAAGATCAATAACAATTTAAATGAAGATCATTTCTTTCTTCTCTATACTTTTTCATTGATTGCCTTAACACAAATTATTTCAATATTAAATCTTCCTAAAATGAAATTAATTGGTTCTATGAAATTGATGTAATTTTTCAAAGCCTACGAATCATTATTTTCTTAAGTTGATTTATCTATAAATAACATAATATGAACATCATTTTTGTTCTTGAATATTCCTATTCTCCAATCATTTGGCATCCTCTTAGTATTCAAAATTTTATTTAAAAAAAATTGTTAACCAATCACAACAATTTCTCTCATCACTTCAAGTCATACTGAACTTAAAGCATTACCATTATGTATTTTTTAAAAAGTTAACTGAAATTCCCTTTTTGGGCTAATCTATAATATAATTCATTATATCATCGGTTATGCTCTCAAGAATAATTTCTTAATTAAAACTCTCATTTAGTAATTCTCAAAATAACATTTTTCATCTTTCTTTAATATTTCCGTCTTTTAATTAAGGCCCTGTCACCTTCACTTTTACCGTATCGAATTTGATTTAGATCCCTTATCTTAGTTATTCTAGATAAATCTTACCTCAACTATTATAATATCTCATTTTCTCCTTCCATAATATCAAAACTACTATATAAATTATCAACATTACAAGATCTAAAAAATATTTATTGAAATGCATGTTAAACATGACATGATGGCCCTGACAAAACTATTGTTTTTTATCATTTTGGGGTGGTGGAATTTGAATCCTATTTATTAAATATGTTATTATGTAGTGGCATATTTATTCCATTTTTTTAAAATACATGATTTCTAAGTTGAATTTCTTGTTAATCTTTCTAAAAAAAGAAATTGTTATTTATTATCTATTAGTTAAAATGTTAGAAGAATATCAAGTTATAAAAGACGAAATCGAGAATCAAAACATTTTGCTCTTAGCAAGGTGAGGTGCAACATCAATTAACTCTAGTAAAAGCTTTTACCATAGCATAAACCAAATTCCTCAATGTGCTACTTATTGCTTCTTTTATTGCATGGAAAGACACATGACCTCTTGCTCACTAATCCCAAACTGCTAACTCGCGACCTCACTCCTGATTCGCTTGAAACCCTAGCATGCATTCTTGTTTAGAAAGAAATCCTAGTCTTATTATAGTTTATTAGCTTATAAGTATATTAGTTGATAAGTATATTATAGAAATTCACAAGTAATGAGGGGCTGCCTCAAAACATCTCAAGGCATTAAGCCTCCAGGCGTCCGTTTTATTTAAAAAAGGCATAAGCCTCACTGGTGCGAGTCTGCCATAAGCCTCGAGGTGCATTTTGAGGCGAGCGCCTAGAAAAAATTTTAAAACCATGGAGAATATGATGCTATCCCTATCAATTTTCAAATTCTATTTAAATAAATATTATATACATATATAATTTTTTTTTTCAGTAAACTACATAACTATATGAGTAGAGAGATGAAAACATCAACAAGATATCACTAACACCACAATGAAATCAGTAACGCTCATAAGGATTGGGTACCTGAGCAGCTATAATCCGGGCTACAGCTTTTTTGCTAGACTCTTGGAGTTCGCCAGCAATCAGAATCTCATCCAATATATAATACGCCTGTACGTTCCTAAGTTTATTATGATATTCGAGACTAAATTATGAATGAAAGAGAATATATGAAAATAATATCAAATTATCAATGACCTTGTGAAAATTGAAAATCAAGTCCAGCTCACAAACCTGGATAATAGAAAAATATTAGATTGCGATATCAAATTGAAAACATACTATAGTTGAAAAATTGACTTACACTGCCAAAGTAACGGTCAAGTATCTCAACGAAGTGATGAATGATTTCAAGAACCTCTAACTCATTGTCCTCAGCATCGATGCACATACAGAAATAGAGGCTAGCATATCTGTCATCAATTTTCATAGACAGATTAGAACGCTCTTAAGGAATCTTACTTGCATCAAGAAAGAGATTTACAATTCAAGTTACCTTCTGTATACAACTTTAAATCCTCTCCATTCTACAAAATTGCAGAGCTTTGGACCTCTTGCGAGAATTACTCCACTGAGCTCACGGATTACCTTTGCAACATAATGGAAGTTATATAAGCTGCAGAGTCAGGATAATCATAAAGCATCTCACAGCAAGAAGGAAGATCCTGAACCACATCTTTCCATTCAAGTACACCAAGCAGAATTAGAACTGTCAAGTACATTACTAACTCTCGTGCCTCTTTTGGTGGGAACTTTTCTGTTGGCATCAAAATATTCGCGATGACATGTTTCATTGCTAAGGCGAATATCAAATGTTGCAACAAAATATGTAGTTTGAATATTAGCACATAAATGTATTTTATATGAATTTAACATATATCCTTAGCACAAAAGTATTATGATCGTATATCTCTCTACATATCATAACAATAAGCTTAATTTTGTTCAATTTAAATACAATAGACTTTTTACAACAACAAAAAATATTTGCTATATATATATATATATATATATAAATTAACAATGGTCAATTTTTTTTTATTTAACTATATAAGGTATACTATTGGTGAAAATTATATGCTCTTAGTATTGTTTTATTAGAATGTGACTTCATGACTTAAAACAAAATATATCAATAAAGAAATTAAATTAATTAATATATAAATACATTTTAATTAGTATTGATTAATTATATTATAATTCGCCTAGTTATCAGAGTCCAACTAAATCATAATTAGTTATTAATTAGAATAATATAATCTATATTAATCGACTAAAATATTATAAATACTTGTTAACAATTTATTTATGACTAAAACATTAATTAAATTTATTAAGTTGATTTTCTTACCCCTCATCTTAAGAAGGATGCCTTTCATGAACCGACTAAATTTTTAATCAATGAGCAATCTGCTTATGTCTACCACCAGCCATAGTAAAATTAACTGCATAACCAAAACCCTATTCCCTATTTTGCCTCATGCATTGCAGACGCAAGCCCACGTCGCTCTATTGGAATAAAAAAACAAACTCTCTTCTATATTTACTGATCGCAGCTTCATCATTCATTCGCATAACCTAATTGCAGCTTTTACTTTTATCCTTTATATATCAATCGTCTCTCCATCTCCATATGTAGCTAGTTTCCACTATTAGTCTTATTTAATATGACTTTCAACCATAATTTACTACAAGTTTTTTTCATTATGAAAATTATATGCAACAAAATTTTAGATTTTACTAACCAAATTATTTTGTAGGCAATGATCGATTTTCTTGATAATAAATGGCAAATAATCCAAACAAAATTTTTTGATCAATGAGTTCAAATGCCGTAAAATGACCCAAATGATGAATACTTCCAAATCAATTGGTTCACCCAAATTCAAAGAAAAAAACAAAACAAAAACAACTTTCAATCATGATTTATAGTAGTATTATTCTATCCTCCCTTTTAGTTTAGACCACTACCACTCTAATTGAAAGAAGCCTCGTCACAACTTCATCTCAATTATGGATAACTCAATAAAGGTTCAAGCATTTGCTTTGAAGTTGAAAGATTAGGTGTGAGTGTTTCCGAGCACTTTCATATCAGAGTTAAATGAAAATAGGGAAAAAAAGAAGTTCAAGAGGGTCTATGCTAAAGATGAAGCAAGCACAAAAAATCACATTTCGATGTTGTTGATTGAATGGAACCCATACTGAAAAGATAGTTACTTGGACCCCTCAACAAAAGTGTTTGTACAAAGCATGAATAAAAGAAACAGTAAAGAGCACGATCTCTCATGCTAAGTTATGCAAAACTTTAAAGCTTGAAGCTATAAAAATTTATTCCTTTCTAGCTTTGCAAATGAAGAAAAAAATATCATTCCTCTCTAATTTATCGATCAGAAACCAAATCACCCTGATCAAGCCAAAATATTCAAAGACATGTCTTTATTAATGTACACTGGACATTATAAAGGACAATCTTCAATTAGCTTTCTCTGCAAGTTGAATTACACCTATTTTCAATGGTTTTCTTTCATACTTGTGGAATGACAAAGTTGTTTTCCAATAATTTCTAGCCTTGCTAGAAAGTTTAGAATCTAATAATCTTTCAAACTGCAAGATCTTTGTTGAACTCTTCATGCCACATTATTAATCATTTTTTATTAATCAATCCATTGTCATAAATTCGCCTCCACAATACTTAGTGGCACCCTTATGCATCCCGTCTCAAATATAAATATTGATATTCCACATCATTGTCCTTTTTGTCTGCACCAACATTCTCTCTGTGAGGGAGAGATATGGTCATGCAAAGCTTGAGCCATCAAATTAATCCCTTCTCATCTACAACTATAAGTTCTTCTCCTGTTGTTGACCTCGGCACACGTAAGAACATTCTGATGCTCTATGGGCTTGAGGATTTCCCTCGAATTAATACCAGCTAGAGTGGGTTGACAACTTCTTAGATGGATGGGGACGAATGATATGGTGTAGTGAAAGTGTACAAGTCACCTTATGGCTCCCCACCAAATTGAGAGTCAAAAGGAAGAGCCTTGGCGGGCCATTCTAACTTCCATGGTCTTGATTTTAACCAATGTTCCCTATGTCATAATAGATTCCTACTGCTAGCTTTCTTGCTTTTTTTTTTTTTTTTTTACATTTCCTTAATTCAAAGTTATACTTTCAGCCCTATGTTCGACTTCTATTCCAAATATTTGGATTCATTTCTTGTCAGAGTTTCTTCAAAGGAAAACGCCTCTTCAATTGATCGTTATAGATTTGCATTTTGAAGAAGGATTTTCTTCATAGCATTGTAACCCATTGTTTGTTAATCAATTAAATGCAGTATTGAGAAAATTTCTTAACTTTACAGAGAATGTCATGTTCCCCTTTAGGTTGATTAGTCTGAAAGATGATGTTTTGAATAACGATTTAGTTTGCAGTTTTTATTGCACTGATAAATTTTTAGATTGCATGCTCTTTCATTGTAATGTTGAAGAAATTATTGGTTTCAACGATTAATTGAATGAATTTATTCCGGTTTTAGACTGGAAATCTTTGTGGTTTGCCAGACAGAATATAACAATTTCTTTGATCAATTACAATATATTCCATATTTAACATAAAGGCTTTCATTGCAATTTTAAGAGCCCATTGTTTGTTTATCAATTGAATGCAATTGTTAAACAAATGCATAAGAAATGAATTTCAGCAATAAAGATTGCAACCTTTCGGATAAATAGAGAATATTACATGGAAAAATAAACTGAAAAATGAAAAGCATGAAACTGAAATAAGTGTTCACCTTAGATCTTTCCTTCTGTGCATATGGAGAGTACCACTTCGTGAGTCTAACCTTTCCTTGTCGGCTTAAAAGAAGCACAAAATGGATCTGAATATGGAAAAATGTTGCCTAGTTTAATAAATACTCAAATAGATAAATGATCTTTTAGGAAATTCAGACTTCCTGGCTTCTCGAACATTTTATTAGCTTCAATTCTTCATTTAAAAGCATCAAATACGAACATATTGAATGTGAACATAACTGCGGCAGTAAAATTTTCACTATGTAAGACTTTAAATATAAACAATCAACTCTACAAAATATCCTGCAAAAAATATTAGAAACCAAGACAAATAAAGCGGCAATCATGCATGGAATTCCATCATCATCAACCTTATTCCAAGCTTGCATCAGCAATCATGCATGGAGATCCATCAATGAGTTTGTTTTTGAGTGTTTCTTCTTGCTACTCCAAGACATAAGCAGAATAAAGGCACCCGCTTAAAGTACAAAAGCTCATCCAGTCACACGACCTTCTTTTGGTTATCCTTCAAGTTCAGTAAAAGCCCTCTGCTGAATAACCTGTAGCGCTATTTCTAGACTGCAAGTTTCAGATGAAAAGCCTCCGTTGATTCTTGAATTTTAACAAAGAGAGAAACAATGTTCATTGAATTTTCATACATATCATGAGAAAACCTCCGCTGATCATGTAAAACAGTTTCTAGCTGGAAACAGTAGAATAGACTTGAATTCCGCACATAAAATACCTAGCAATGAAAGACTTCCTTATATCAAAGATGATTTGTGTTGAATCCAAAATTATACGTGAATACACCCAACTATATTGAGAATACTAACTAAAAAAGAAAAAAAAAAATAGAGAGAATAAGAAAAATTCTAAGTAGAAAATTTTGAAAAATATGCTTGATTGCTAAAAATTTATATAAAATTGTGTAAATCAAGCTCACCCTTTCAACTTCCTATTTATAGATTGAGGTTAAGGCTTGAATATTACAAAATTTGGCTACATACATGACTATACAAAAAATAAGAAAAAATGCAATAATTGTGTAACTTATTCGAAAGGTTTGAATTGATGAAGTCATTTTTCGAGATCTTTAAAAGTTGACAGCTTTGCGCTTGATAGTCAAATAGCCGAGTAACCAGTAAACAATTTGCCTTAAGAAATCATCCATTCTTGAGTCACTATGACCAACTTCTAAGCAATAGTTCTTGACTGGAATGAGTTCTTAGATCATGGTCGCTCGCTTGAGGCGAGTTCTCCAATACACTGGCAAGTCTCTTTGAAGTTGAGACAGTAAACCAATTTATCTTGGCTTAAATTGACTTGATTTAGCTTGACCGAGATGAATTAGTTTGAATCAAGTTTTTAGGATATTTGGCTATATATTTACTTCATTGATTCTCTTATATCCTTAGAGGTTTATTGTAAATATAATATAATATAATATAAAAACTATTCCTTGTCATTTAATCATAAATCTTTCATAAATATTTATTTTAATATTAGTTATTAATGAATCAATTTAAAGTTGACTTCTAACATTATTTTTTTGTCTACGCCAATCAATAGTTAGCCTATAAATAAAATATTGGAACTCCTTACTCAAATATTTGCTTCTTCAATTTATTTCATCTCTTAGTATTTTGAATTATACAACTTCTTTGTCCCTGCAATAATGGAGGTTCCAAACGACAAGATTAATATCTCGAAAGAAGGAACTTCTGAAAAAGAATAATAAGAAAATGAAGTTTGCTGAACAAAAGGTAAAAGAAAGAGATCCAACAACTCGATACTTCGTCAAAGTCTCGGTCGATCAGCATTCTTTCTCCCTTGCTATTGTGGACTTTTTGAGGGGATACTAGTTAGCAGATTAGTAGGAATACTACTTGATATCTGATGATTAACTAGTTAACTCAATGTCTGATGATCAGCTTGTTGAGCAAGTACATAATTAGTAATGATGTTCATTTGCATTAACTGCATCATCGCAAGCATCTGTGTCATCATTTCTATCATCTTGTTGTTTATATCTGATATATCCTTATCTTTCTCTTTCATCTACCATTTTATACGCCTTTGTGCTTGTGTTAATGTCTCAACAAGTATTTCTTCTTCTTGATCATCATTTTGTTCATTATATGAGGGGACTTCTTATTTTAACTACTCGTACTGAGCTTGCTCTTCTTGCGGGGTTGTTGTTTTATAAGAAGCAAGCCCTGCTTCATTGCTTCGTCGGTATCCACATGATGGAGGCAGCTCATCACCATGCCCCACCATATAAACTACCTCAACTTACATGGTATCTTCATCATCTTTTTCTTGTACTCGTATCTCAGAGCGATGCTTCCAACAAATCTCTGGCTCTGAATGCAGTACATAAATTTCTTCGATTGGAAGAGTACTATCAAAATTGACCTTCTTATAAGAGGATGAAGTTGGCTAGCAATAAGATTCATTGGAAGATTCTTCAAGGTGTCGACTATTGCAAGTGTCAGTAAAAAGAATATTTTTCTTGGGTACCCATTGTTGACGATTCTTATCAGAGGCGGATCTCTGGGAGGCTGCACCAGATGTTACACGTATACTTTCTTCTCTAGTAATATTCTTTCATGAGGTCTTAGCCTCCAAATTTCTTTACCCTTCCACCGGGATCTTTCGTCAACTCTCCAATGTTTACCGGGTTGAGTTGATTTTGATTTTTCTTGAGTCACATTGGCAGATGGTAACTCTCTTAGTGGGATTCTCGTGATCTTGTTTGTCAATGACCTTTGTTATCTCTTCTTTATCAAGTTATTTTCTCTCGCAACTTTCATAACTCTATGCACCCTGGCGGACAAAGTTTAATGCTTCTTTTTCTGAGAAACATGAGTTTGTTGTTGTTGTTCCCATAAAGAATATTTTAGCTTGCCAGTAGAGCTATTTCTTTTAACTCATTTGATATTTACATATGTATTCTGGGTGGGAACGTTAAGCTCTGGCGCCAAGGCTGGGAGTGTTGATAATTGCACAGGTAGTGGTTGTTAGGCTCGTAATTCAGCATTCATTTTTCTCCTGTCGTTTGGATAATCTTCCTCCAGATAAGGAAGCTTCATGATCATGCCTTCTCGGTACAAAAGGATCAGTTGGCAGTGTGATGACGCTTGATAAGATCGGCAAAATTTTTTGCTTGACATCAGTCGTCTTCACAGTTAAAACTTCAAGATGTGAGTCTCTCGAAGATTGAGTCCTGTTTTGTTGAATTGTTTTAATAGTAGCAGTTCTAGCAGCTCGTGATTATTGCACTGAATAAGCATGTCATGCATAAATTTTTAGCAGAATCAAGCCTCATGCTAATTCCACAGCATGGCCTTGAAGAGTTACACCGTGAATAGATATGGCAGCAACCATTGCAGTAGCTGCAAAAAACTCCAAGCTACTAAAAATCTGATGTTGGCTTCAGAGTCTCTGATATTAATAACAGCATTCGCTAGTTGAATGCTAGCGCCACGTCCCAATTGGAAGGTAAAAGGAGTATTTTGTAGTTCTATTATGCACAAATGAAAGGAAATGATTAATAATCGAAAGTTGATACATCACCACACACTTTCAAAGTACAAAGACTCAGCGGCTTTGGCGTCGGGCCTGGTCGTATCGAAGATGGAGGCGGAAGTCAGCTAGGGCACGGTGGCGGGTCTAGTTTGGTCGCAGGAGCGCGTCGGGCTCTCAGGTGGTTGAGGAAGGTCGGCTAGGGTTTGGGCTCTGCTATCGTGTGCAGGAGTCATAGTTGGAAGAGGAAGAGATTGAGGATTTTGACTTCCTTCCCTTTGTAAGTATTGAATACTTCTTCGTCTTCTTTTGTTTGTGTGTGTGTATCTCCTTCGAATGAGAGGGGAGTGGTTCGTGGCAACTCTTATTACCGTGAGGAGCAACGGTTGCTAGTCGAAGCGTGGGAACATTTATTAGAAACATAAAGTGGTTATAGGTCAACAACGGGTTAAAAATATCACCTCTTCCATATCACAAAAAATAAGAAACACAACCTTCCTCTGTACGTTCTACCCATACAACCAATTATCTAGCCCAAACCACCAAATTTTAGCAATAAGCCACAAAGAAAAAAAAAAGAATACAGGTAAATGGATCTTCTCTATCTGCCTAATTGATTTACTTCCATTTAATAATAAGATTGCCTACAATTCATGTAGATTGCTTCAACTTTTCTGGAATAGAGATCTGTTTCAAAAAGTTTTGACTGTTCAAGTGATTCCATGTCAAGGCTCCTCTATGGATGTGTTATATATGTTATTTTCCCCTTTTATCTGACTACAAGATAATGATTCTTTCCTCTCATCTTATTTGGGATGAATTTTTCTTCGTCTTTTAAAATTGAATAGTGTGATTGTTAGTAATAATAGATCTAGTAAGGGGGTAGTGACTTTGGACCACCAAGTCATTAATAATAGTAAAGGTTTTAGATATCTCGGGTCTATTCTTCAAAGTGATAGTGAAATAGATGAGAGAATTATTAGTAAAATTCAAGTTGTATGGTTGAAGTGGAGGAATGCATCAGGCATGTTTTGTGATAAAAAAGTATCCCTCAAACTTAAGTGAATATTCTATAAGATGGTGATCAAAACCTACGATGCTTTATGGCGCAGAATGTTTGTCTATTAAAATAGAAGCATACAATTAAGTTAGGATGCTCAGGTTGATGAGTGGCTTCGCTCTTAGAGACAAAATGTGAAACAAGTATATGCGTGAAAAAGTTAGAGTAGCTCCAATGGCAGATAAGATTAGAGAGAGTCTCCTTAGATGATTTGGTCACACAAAACATCAGTCTTAGGATGACCCAATTAGGAGAATAGATGTATTATATTTGGCCATCCACACACTGGATCTAAGGGAAAATCTAGACATGTCCAACTAAAATCTACCTGGAACGAAACCCTCGTGGACAACCTAAGACAACACCAAACTAGGTCATTTGCGATGCAGGCATAAGGAAAATACCAAAATCGGAGCGCAATGCGAATGATAAAAACCCAACGAAAGCTTTCCAGGTGAAATCTAAGAATAGTTTGCAGATCCATGGAGGAGTTGTGAATTTCGAATTGAGACAAATTAGCACATATGTGGGATTCCAGATATTTATGCAAGCAAACGAAATACACGCACCATTTTTGCTCGCCAAAGCCGTCGCCCGGATCTTCTGCTCGGAACTTCGACCCAATACACCGAAGATGAAAAGCGGCGGATCCACAGGCTCAACAAACTTCTTGTCCGCGATTCTCTCGGATCTTCGCCACACAGCTATGCTCTCAGCGTCGCCGCAGCGATCTCCCGCTCCCAATACCTGCCTTCAGCTCCTCTCGCTCCCTTGCTCTCTCGTTCTCGATGTTTAATCGCGGAGATTTGAGATACGAAATGTGACTTTATTTGCCTGCACAAATAAGATGAGAGAAATATATCTGAAATATCGTTTGGATGAAGTTATCTTAGCGACAGATAATATCTTATATGTATAAAACACGCCCTATTACGGCATGGCCTCTCTAGTGGCGTGAGTCAAAATGTGGAATTTTTATTGCGTCCTCCCACCTGACGTAGAGATACATCTTCTTATCATCAAAAAATTCGGTTTTTACTCGGTATTGCTAGGTATTATTTGATAATAACGATGAATATCATCATGTGAAAATCAATACCGAGTTATACCGAGCTGTACCGAACAATACAAAAAAATACCGAGTTCTTTCTAGGAAAAACTAGGTATTTTTTTGTATTGCTCGGTATAGCTCGGTATAACTCGGTATTGGTCTTCACATGATGATATTCCTCGTTATTGTTTGGTATTGCTCGGTATTTGCTCGATATTTCTCGTTTTATTGCGCGAATTTAGCTCTGGGAGGACGTATCTCTACGTCAGGTGGGAGGAAGCAATAAAAAATGTGGGCTTCATGTTGGTGGATGATTTTGTTAGATTTTGTCGTGGGATTAGTTACGCTGCCAAGCGCTCTCTTTAAAGTGTCAGCGAGTAGATATCAATGTTGAAGAACAAAAATAATAATAATAATAATAAATTAATTGAAATTGGTTTGAATAAATTTGATTTTGAACTCAATTTGAACCTATTTCTAATTACTCAAACTTTAATGTGAACTAGGTTCTAATTTATACTAAAATTAAGTTCAAAACTGACTCAAAATGTGAACTCGGGATCAACAATGTATAAAGGATAAGTAGTTTACAATCTCTTATTGGTTGAAGGAGAAGTCATCGTGATGAAGGGCGGAGTTCGAATTACTTGTATGAAGAATAAGGATGAAGCAAGCATCGCAATCTCTCATTGGCGTGTCAAATGAACTTCACTAGAGAAGACATGGCAATGAGTATCGTACATACTTTGCTAGATAAGGCAAAGTGGGGTTGTGGTGTGTGCCAGATGGAGTTCATCGGAGAGGGTCTCATAGGTTGGCGTCATGTGTCGGACAAAACTCGCTAGAGAAAATATCTTGCGATTATTGCATAAAGAGAGCACATATGATGAATTGTGAGACTAGAAAACTCTAGTTCAAACAAATGTTATAACTTGGTTTAAATTCATCACATTAGAATAAGAATATAAAAGATGAGTAATTTTTTCCAAAGTAAACATTGGCTATGTAACTCCAATTACAAATACTATGAGGCATATAAAGTCAAATCGTTCATTTTGAGATTGTTCACTTTTCTTCAATTGAAACTCTTTTAATTTTACTTCTTTATTTTGTTTTCTTATATGCAAAATGTCATATTTTCTCTTCCAATAATATGAGAATAACATCAATATAATAATGTAATATATAGAATAAATTTATAATTAGTTTAAAGCATAAGGATACTATAGTCCATACTCCATACTCAAAGCTTATCCCAACATATTACAATGGTGATAGGTCAAGGAAGGGAAAGAATTAATATAATAAAATATGGCAATTACATGAATAACACTAATAAAAATTATTTACAGAACTAACATCCAACAAGATCATTAGGGAGTTTAGCATTTTACAAGTACTCCATAAATGATAATCTCTAAAACTAAATTCAAAATGAAGTGAAATAGCTCTATAACTCATGACGGTAAATAAGTAGATTTGGCGTATGAATCTTTGTATGTGCGCACCTGATTAACAATCAATTGAGAGTTGGCGATAACTTTGATGATTTGAATTGCTAATTATGAATAACTAATTAGAGCTTCGTACTAGCTCCATTATTAGTATATTACTATTTAAGCATTTAGTGAGTATGCTAAACTATTTCTTTGGGAGTCATAAAAACAAGGCTAACTAATGTGGTTTGTGGTTCTTCATGGAAGCCACGTAGGGGTGCAATTGAGTCATGCCAGCTCAGGCTCAACTCGTTAACAAGCTTGCGAACTAAACTTATCGAGCTTCTAGCTCGAGCTTTAACAGGTTTTCGAACTCGTTGGCTTATCGAGCTCAAGTTCGATCCTAAGTATGCTCGACTTAACTACTTGTCGAGCGGCTCGGTTGGTGCGTGTGAACTGCGGAAGCGGGGCGAAGAGCGGAAGAACGTGAGACCGGGGAAGCATGGGAATCGCAGGCTCGTGCAATCGTAAAAGTTGTGCGAAGCTCGAAAGCGCAGGCTCGTGCAGTCACAGAATCCTATGAAGCACAGGAGCGTGCTATCTCGGAAGATGGATCGGCATAATGAGACCACGTAAGACGAACAACATGAACGAGCTCGCGAGCCCTCATTGAGCTCGGATCACTGGCACGAGTAGAGCTCGACTCGAGTTTGAGCTCAAAATTTGGCTCGTGAGTCGAGCTCAAATGACTTGAGCTCAACTCGACTCATTTGCACCCCTAAAGCCATGCCATTAAAGTATAATTATTATGTCGGGCTTTCCTGGTTTTCTATATTCACTATTTGATCATCTAACAAGCTATCATCAAGTGAAAAATCTACACAAATATGATAAGATGCTAGAAAGTCAACATGGGCTTACCTCTTCATAGTTACTTAGAGTGTGTACATGATATTAATTTACAGAAGTATCATTAATCGTTAATAATAGTAAACTTGTCCAAAGATATTATATAAGTTTTATTCTTAAGATTATAAGCTCATCTTGTGTGAGAGCATATAAGTTTCCAGCATATATATGACAAAGATTAAAGAAAATAATATGTATTAATGGGTATATATCTAACCTCAACCATAATGAGACATTGGATGATGTAATATATAGTGTATTCTATTTTCTTTCCTCATCAGCTTATGCTAAGTGTGTTCCAAATAACTCATATGATGCAACTATATAAAGAATCAATTGTTTCTCTAAGGCTTCGTTTGGGACGACTTTCTTACTGATTCTTAAAGAAGTTTTTTAGTATAAAAATTAAAATTTTTTAACTTAAAAAATATTTTAAGAAGCGGTAATAAAGCCGTCCCAAATGAAGCCTAATACTTTCAAAGTAAATCCAATGTTCTTCTTTGCCAAGATGACAAATGGTTGACGCCTTCTAGAAAGGTTTAATATGAATTATCTAAGAAATGTTAACCTATCATGAAATTATCTCAAAGATGGTTTCATATATAATAAAACTTTATTTTTTAGGAACCATTTTCAATCCAATGGCTACAAATCCAAGTTACTTCCCATAAGTTACACTGAACGTTCACTTACAGAATTTTTCTTGAGATTGTGGCAGCAAAGTTTCTAAGAAATAATTCTAAGTTCTAGTAAATGACTGATTGTCTTGGGTCTTATTTTTTAGGGATTTTTACATACATAACACTTTTAACTATTGAAAGTACATATTCAACATCCAAAGTTCTGTATTTACTAATATACCACCTAAAATCTTTATTTCCTTCTATTCTACCACTCCGTTTAAGCTTCGTCAGAAATCCCTATCCGCCCATCATTTTCCGTTCTTTCGTGTGAGGAACCCCATTGCCGGCGAAAAGGGGAGAGCAGACGGCTGGCCTCCAGTGAGATGTTGCATGTGGTGAGCACTCTCCCATACATTCTCCATTTCTTGCCACATGCATCAACTTGCTCGGCAACAAGACCATTGTTGTTTAGAGCTTGGGCATCAAGAAGATCAAACCAGGCAGATGGCCCAGAACTAAGTGAAGAAGGTTTGCCTGCATGTTCGCCTGAAACTAGATATAACAAGTCCAATTGTCGTGAGGCTTGGGAGACTTAGGAAGCTTGAAAAGAAGGGTCACAAATGTGAGAAATAAATTTTGAATATGGTGCAGGTGAATTTGAGATAAATCACATAGTCAAAGCCATTGCGGAGGAGTCCCTCTCAGATAAAAGAGAAAGAGATCAGGGTAGGGAATTCTGTCGCTGCACTATGGGATTTTTGAAGTTGAATTGTCAGGGCAAGCAGATAATTCACACCATTCCCACTTTCTCCCATAACTGAAGGTGAATTTTAGAAGAACGGTGGCGAGGAGGAGGAGAAAACAGGTTTGGTCACGGAGGCGGAAGCTTCATGCATCAGAGCTTTTGTTCTTCTTGCCCTGTTTCCTGACTCAGGTTTCATTTGACGTTCCAACAATCATAAATTTTGGAAGAATCAGAGAAGGGGTCAATGGAGATTTTTGCTATCTTACCTTGCATCCGAGAGATTGTTGTTGCCGAGAGAGCAGAAGCAGAAGCAAAGGATACGCTCACAAACCTTGCAGACGGAAAACATAATTTTTTACGGGGGTTTTAACGGGGTGTTAGAATAGATGAAAAGTTAGATTTTAGGCGGTATATCAGTAAATACAGAATTTTGGGTGTTGAATATGTATTTTCAATAGTTTTAGGTGTTATATATGTAAAAATCCCTATTTTTTATTAATAAGGTATACAAGTTATTGAGCTTTTTTTCAAACACTTATGAATGTGAGAGATGGATTTTATTCAATTCATAAATTAATTTATTTTAATTCATCAATTATTGATGAAGATATTGATTGGCCATCTTCATCAAAATTTAGAGAAGCATTTTAGATTTGAACTTCTTTTAGGTTGCTTATTTTTTTTTCTTTGAAAGATCTTTAACCGCGACAAAATTTGTAATCATAAGACAACTTATAAAGCTAATATTGTGTCAATTAAAACATTATAATTAATCACATAGAGTTTTAAGTTGAGCACCGAGAGGATATTCTATCAAAACGACAGCCTAGCTACACCTTATCCTAAGCTAAATATCTAAGGGGTTATGACCTATCACAACACTTAAGTGTGTATAACAATCTAAGTTTAGTTAGAAAGTTTAAACTCATGCAAAAAATATGGCACATGAAGTATGAAAGTGAAGATATCATTCCTAAGAATACTCTAAAATATTATATAAATGATTTATAAGAATACATAGAAGCTCCTAATAGGAGAGAACCACATAGTAGTATCTATTATATTGCTCTCACGGGGTGTAAACAAGTTGCACTGAGCTCGAAATTTGACAACTTT